ATAAATATCCAATAGGCATAATAAAGGACCTAGGAGGAGCCTTAGTGTAAAACCATGCATCCACCTCCCACGTCCGTTTTTCTTGTTGCAATTGAGGAGGAGGCGAGAGGAACAATCTGCAATGCAATTGCAAAGGTGTTGCAACGCCTCCCAAAAATAGTTCCCCGGCAGGGGATCCTGGGAACTGTAGTCTTCAGAAACTGGGTGAAAGGAAGAACAATCCAAACCGGAGACTACAATCCCAGGAACCTTTGGGTAAACCTGGAGAAAAGGCAGCCACTTCCTGGAGGACTGAGAGTGTCAACAAGGAGGAAAGAAGAGGTTTGGGATTTGCAAATTCTGAGTGCCTTCTGCTGGGGAAGTGGGTGAGTTCCTTGGAGATCGCCTCTCTTTTTGGTCCTTGTTTGTGAACCATTTTACTTCCAGGCAGGCTGGGATAATCTGCACAAAATAGCATGCATTTTGTGCATTTGGGCTGGCCCCATAAAGGCATCCTTGCCTTGTGGATTTGGGTTGCTATTGTACTTTGCTACATGGTCAACAAGGCTCAACCTTAAATATGTTTTCTTCATTATTACCTGTTCTGCATCCGCACTGGAGATATAACCCGGTTTGGCACCACTTTAACTGCCCTGGCTCAATGCTATGGAATCTTGGGAATGGTAGTTGGTTTTATTTAATTGTATTATTTTATTTTATTTTATTTTATTTTATTTTATTTTATTTTATTATTTACTTGTAGTTGCTCTGCCATGAAACTCACTGGGTGACCTTGGGCAAGTCACATGCTCTCAGCCTCAGGGGAAGGCAATGGCAAACCTCCTCTGACCAAATCTTGCCAAGAAAATCCTGTGATAGGTTCACTTTAGGGTCTCCATAAGTCAGAAATGACTCGAAAGAACACAACACACATACAAACCCATTGGGTGATCTTAGGCAAGTGACATGCTCTCAGCCTCAGGGGAAGGCAGTGGCAAACCTCCTTTCGAACAAATCATGCCAACCCCCCCCCAAAAAAACCATGATAGGTTCGACTTAGGGTCACCATCAGTTAGAAACAGCTGGAGGCACACAATATGTACACATAGTTTTAGACTCTGGACTACATGGCATGAACAAGCTGATACTTTCTATGAAGCCTTTGTGAGTTTTTAAAAGACCGGTCCTTCCATCCACACTAATGGAAAAACATGCATTATGTATGTACAAGAAGTTGTTGGACTGCATTCTCCAGCATTCTTCCCCACTGGCTATGCTAATTTTCTGGGACCTGAACTCCAAAAACATCTAGAGAGCTGCATGATTCCCATCTTTAATATAAGTTATTGGCAATAGATTGTGAACAGAGGAAGGGAGTACCTTGTGTAAGAGATAATTATTTTGTGAGTTTGGCTACCACAAAAAAGAATTGGCTTAGATAGATTTGTGGAGAGGGAAAAATCTGCTGATGAATACTGTTTATGATTATTGCATTCAACCTCCTTGTTATAGAGCTAAATATCTCAGGTAGTGAGGAACAAGAGAGCCATTGGTACTTAGGTCTTGCTTGTGGGTTCCCAGAAGCATCTGGGACCCTTGCACCCTATACAATTATACTGCTATATTCTGCTTTAATTGCCATGGCAACATCCTATGTGATCCTACGATTTGGAGTTTGGGGAATTCTCAGCCAGAGAGCTCCAGTACCTTTTCAAAGTGCAAACCATTAGATCCATTGAGATGAAATCATGGAATGCTATAATTGTGAAGTGGCAAAATAACTCTAGAATGAGAAATAGGATCCTGGATGTGACAGGCCTTTGATTTGGGCTCTGCTTTGTGTGTTTTCCTGTGATCACTGTATTTTCTCTTTCAAATGGTTTGATCTTTATTATGCCTTGAATCATGTTCATGCACTGTGGCTAAATGAGTCATCATTTGTAACACAAGCAAAATGACTGATTCTCCCCACTTCTTTTTTTAGATTCTGCAAAATGCCTTAGAATTCCTCAATCTGATGGTTTATAATCTATTTTTCACAATTCTAATGCAGCCAGAGTAGTGTAGTGGTTTGAGTCTTGGACTACGAATCTGGAAACCAGGGTTCAATTCCCTGCTCAGCCATGAAACCCACTGGATGACTTTGGACAAGTGACATGCTCTCAGCTTCAGGGGAAGGCAATGGCAAACCTCCTTTCGAACAAATCATGCCAAGAAAACCCCAGAGTAGGGTTGCTATAAGTCAGAAACAAAGGCAAACAACAGCAGCAACAACAAAGTGCAATAATCAATAATTAAAAATGAAACAGATTAAAAGCTAGCCATAGCTAAACATCATATTCAAATACATGCTTACTATGTGTGTTGGCCCATTTGCATGCTGTTGTATTAATGTTACTTGTTAATGTTGATGCATACAATAAGCAGAAATAAAGATGGACTGCCTGTGGTCCCATGCTCTGAGTAGCATGAATTAAGAGGATACTACATTTTTATATTGATTGTAAATGCTTTTACTTGCAAACATGGTTTGTCAGCAGTTTTTCTGGCAAAATTCCAGTTCTGTGAAGTTTGTGAAGCTTTTCTCAGGGCCCTTTCACACTACATGATATAGCACTGTGATTCTACTTTAATTGCCATGGTGACATTCCGTGAAGTCCTGGAGTTGGTTCTTTGGGGAGGCATTAGAGCTGTCTGGAAAGCCAGTATGGCATAGTGGTTTGAGTACTGAACTATGATTCTTGGAAATTGGGGCTCAATTTCCAGCTCGGCCATGAAACCCACTGGATGACCTTAGGCAAGTCTCACACTCTCAGTGTCAAGGTAAGGCAATGGCAAACCTTCTCTTCTTGCTAAGAAAACCCCATGGTAGGTTTGCCTAAATGTCACCATAAGTCAGAAACAACAGGAAGGCGGATAGCAACAATAACAACAAAGCGCTGTCAGGCTGTAAATTATACGTATCTTTCTCTATGCTGCAAATCCCAAGATTCCATAGGATGGAAGTAGGCAGTTAAAGAAGGATCATAGTGCTATAATTGTGTAGTGTGAACAGCATTTTAAAAAAAGACTGTGCTGGTTCAAAGGCCCATTATATCTACCAATGTTTTCTCACTGTGCCCAGTCATAGATTGCCATGCAAAACTCACAGCCTGGGCATGATGCAGTAGTACCCATGCTCTCATGTTCCCCAGCAGCTGGCACTGAGAGAAACACTACTTATTCTGCTGTTGGATGCAGACTAAGCTATCGTGACTATATATATCATCAATGGGGAACTCTAACATGTCACTATAAAACAAGCCAGGATTAATAAATCAAAAACAAAGTCTGGCTTGCAATTCTGGCTAGTTAAATGAACCACAAGCCAGGACCCCTACTTCAAAAGGCAGGCTTAAGTTTTCAGTTTCTGGTCAGTTCAGTAGTCGCAGTAGCAAAGAAGCAACAAATGAAAGAGCATCAGCTTGTTGCTTATTCATGATATGAAGAAAAGTCCAAAGTCCAGGTTATGGTGAATTACTCCAAATACGGGAATTTATACTTAATCCAAAATTTGTTTTTTCCTCCTTAGGTTGCTTACAATTGTACTTCTGCTTGTAAGCTGTTCTTGGCTTGGTGACATCTCTCAGTAAGTTTATCTTCTTAAGTCACTTAGAAAGGGATTTATCAAACCCACAGTTGGAAATGTGTCTCACATAACTATCTCATTTCAGAATCAGAAACACATTTCTGGTGCAACATGGAAACTATGGGGAAAAAATTAAGTACTATTTTAATACAGACAGTATAATCCATCCTGTCTTTAAATCTATACAAGAGTTTCTGTTGACAACTGGAACCCCAGGATTTCTAAGCACTAAACCTACATATAACTAATAGTTGCTAAAGATGAAAAACAGAAGAATATTTGCGGAAAGACTAAAGCTATGACACAACATTTACTGTTTTAAGAAAGACTCACCGAATAATGGCTGCAAAGTATTTTCTTTTGCTTCTCCCCCCTTCTAAAAGTGTCTTACTTTATTAAAAATTCATCCCAAGCCTCTGTATTTTGTGAGGTAAGTGGCTGAATGTTTGCTAAAATATAAAAACCTTTAAAATATAATCTGCCCATTTTCCTATTTAAGAACTATAACAGATGAGAGTTTTGGTGATCATTTCCCTTCCAGGAAAACTTTTAAGACTGCTGGTATCACTTGTTAGTGAATTGTCATTTTTGTGACTGAAGTTACTGTAAATGATCAGGAGATATTTCACCATTATATTATTATACTAAGCAATGCATGATTGTTTATAAATTACAATTCGTAGCTTTCTGAAAAAAAATTATTATTTAATAAGCAAGTTCCATTTGATAAGAACCCTGATGTACCACACTTGTTTCAATGTGACTTCAACAGATTCCTGTTTAACATTTGCACAAGTTACTGTTTTGGATTACCATGCTATAATCCTTCAGCAAGAATGCAGCCAGATTCTGGAGGTTGTAATTCAAAATACCCAGGCTGGCTGGGAAAATTCTGGAATTTGTAATCCAGAAATAACTTTTCCAAGCTCTGGGACAGCACTGCCTCTAAATTCAATTTTGTTATTTTGAAAATAATAATAATGAATTGATCAGAGTATTATTGACTTGGTAGTATGTTCTTTCCCAGGAAACTTTTTCCTTGGCTAAAATGGGGTGCCGTGATGTCCATGCCGCAACAGTTTTGGCCTTCCTTTCTGGAACAGCAGCCTTATCGGGACTCATTGCTGCCGCTCTGCTTCCTAACTGGCGACAAATGCGACTCTACACCTTTAACAAAAATGAAAAGAATGTGACTGTTTACACTGGGCTCTGGATCAAGTGTGTTCGCTCAGATGGAAGCAAAGACTGTGTGATCTATGACACCGAATGGTACACAGCAGTCGATCAGCTGGATTTGCGTGTTCTCCAGCTTGCTCTCCCCATTAGCATGTTAACAACTGTCTTGGCTCTGTTTCTGTGCCTGATTGGCATGTGTAACACAGCCTTCATATCAACGGTGCCCAACATCAAACAGGCCAGATGTCTCATAAACAGTGCTGGTTGCCATCTTGTGGCTGGCCTCTTCTTTCTCCTGGCATGTGTCATTTGCTTGACACCATCTGTTTGGGTCATCTTTCACAATCAAGAAATGAACAGAAAATATGAGCCTGTTTTCAGCTTTGATATCTCTGTGTACATTGCTATAGCCAGTGCTGGAGGTTTATTGTTCACCGCCATTCTCTTATTCCTTTGGTATTGTGCCTGTAAAGCCCTACCTTCCCCATTCTGGCAGCCTCTATATTCACATGCACCCAGTGTGCATAGCTATGCCTCCCAACCCTATTCTGCGCGATCACGCCACTCTGCTATTGAAATTGACATCCCTGTTGTTACACACACTACTTAAAGATGGGGTTGGGAAAGCCAAATGCCTCTTTGCTCTTTCATATATCAAGGTGGGTGATATTCCACTGCCCTGCCTTAGAGACTTTACAAAACAAGTGCGAAAAGAACTGCCATTGGAACCTGACAGTTTTTACCACTTCTCCATGGGTGTTTACTCTAGTTAGAAATGTATTTTGGTAAATATATCAGAAATCTCAGTTTTGATCTTGAAACAATCTGTAAGTTTTTAAATCCTGTCAACACTATTGGTATTTGTAAGTTAATAAGTAACTTAAAGGCTGAGATGTTTTTTCTATATATCAGTCTAGTTTCTTCAACATCCACATCCACACGTTTGTAAACCAGCATGGAAGATTATTTTTAAGTACCTCTTGCAGTTCCAGCTTTTTGACCTAATTTAGAACACTAGGATTTTAATTGTCTCCCTTAAATGATAGTTAATTTGTATTTGTGAGAATGGTGGTTTTATCTATTATATTGTCTCCGCTTCTACATCAGTAGCCAAACACATTTTCTTTGCATTAATGGAGCAGAAACTGAGAATGCATTTTTAAGCCTTGCTATTCTGAATTTTACCAGTCTATGAAGCAGTGATTGATATACCATTTTGGTCCTGGGCCAATTTTTGTTTTCTATTGTTCTGTTTGTGAACATCACAGAACTTCTGTTAGATTGCTCCTTGAGCCCTCAGAAAACCATACTAATAATGATATATATATAGTAGTAGTACATCTGCATTGTCTAAGGTTTTTGTTCTACAGAAAAAAATTCTTTGAAGCTATATTTTTATTTCTCTGAACATAGGAAGTACCCCAAAATTCATTTATGATTAAAGTATAAACAATGTATCACCAATAAACCAAATAGCTTTAGATTTATGTAAAGTATTTTAGTACAGCCTATGTTAGTGGGAATGCCATTTCTAGATTTCTAGTTCTTTTAGGCTCCATGAGATATTACTCTAGTTTTTTGATAACCATAATTTCTTTTGCTTTACCTTTAAAATACATACAGGAATTCTTTTAGACACATGTGAAAGGAATTAACATCTGTGTCATTGTCTAGTGATCCTAGTAGGTTGATAAATGGCTTTCAAACTTTAGGTAGTTTTATTGATTCATTATTGTTTTTCTTTATTACAAATGGGCTCTCAAACACCATTTTTGGAATTAATTTAAACACCATAGTAATTTCAGAGAGTTTTTATATAAATACTGAAGATAAAATTATCAAAGGCATTTTAAATGATTTCTGATACTTTAGTTTGCATACATCTTACATCTTTCTTACAGTTACTCCTCTTTTTACGCATCAGACATGTATTGTTTTCTTCATATGTTTTTCCATTTGGGATACTTATGTTTCTGTGCATGTGCCTTCAAGCCACTGAATAATTAAAAACTGTTAATTAGTGTAAACTATCAAGGTTTCTTTGAGTAATGAGCAAAATAGAACATGCAGTCTGATCTCTGTTTTAAGAAAATCATTTTTACAATTGATTACGGTAAGCATCTTCACAGAAACTTCTTAGCTGAAGCAAGAGGTAACTTTCTGGATTTGCTATCACCATATATTCTTAAATTATTAAGTGTAAAATATATATCTGATCAACACAAAACACTAAAAAAAGCACTCCATTTATAGGGAGAATTTTTATATTTTTCTAATATAGTGCTCAGAAGACCTCCCCCCCCCCTTCTGCTTCAGGTAT